TATTTAATTACTAAGGATATCTCTGGCTATTGTTTGAAACATTGGAGGTTACTAAACATAAAATACAAGGATTACATTAAATTAAGCTGTCTATTTAGACTCTTTTTACCTAGGATATTTAAATACATGTCATCTTTTATATAAATACAGAGAATTGCAATGATAAAACAAACAGCCATATACATCTATCTGATGATAAACTACCCCAGTTTGGAGTTTAGTACAATTATAATGCTCATAACACCTACAGACTCTTTCTTACTATACAGGGGCTTCTTCTAACTTCCAACTTAAAGCACATTTCAAGTAAGCTAGTACTTAAAATACAGCTGAATTGTAATAAGTCAAATTCTTCCAACTTAAGGAGCACCTCACATAACCCCATATTTGAGATATTACTTAGTTGTGATAAGTCCAGTCTAAATAAATACAGCATGATAACATTACAGAAAAATCACATTATAAAGGCTAGGTTTCAGGGTGTGGGTGAAAGCAACACATTCTTGTTGCGTGTATCATCTCCCACTTTTTTCTTGCTTAAAGAGTAAGACTGTTTACCCATTGCCCTTTTCTCCTTGCTTCTTTCAGAGTACTGTGTAAGTGAAGAACCCTCCTTCAGGAGCATGCAAGGCATACCCCACCCTGTGTTTTGTGAATGCTGTCATCATGAACAGATTTTGGGTAACAGCCAGGGAAAAGTCACGCTATCGTGCAACCACATCACCTCTTAGGAACAATAAGGAACATGAAAGAACAGAGTCCACATGTTCTCTAAAGACCTAGAGGCGGAGAAGCTGACACACGAGAGGCTGGGGTGTGGCAGCACCCTACATGTGAGCTTCTTCCGTTTGATTTCTGTGATGAGTAATCTAGGAAAGCAGTTGACTGGGATGTAAACTGAAGGTGATTGTTAGATATTGATCTAATCCTGATTAAGTATTGATCTATTCTTTTACATTTTTTTCCAAGAGGTTCAGTTCATACCAAGGTGGCCATTCATTTTTTTTTCTTTTTCTGAGCAAATATATTGGGAATGCTAAAATAAATTCTACTCAATATAAGGTAAACACCTTAATTATTACAGTGAGAGCAATGGAATCGCTGTTGAATATGCATTGTGTTTAATGAAGGCCCTCTGAAGTGGTGCTTTTGCCTTGTTTCCAAAACAATGATTTACCAAGCATTTTACTATTTATCTTAAACTACTCCAACTGTATTAATTCTGCTAAGGTCTGAGATCTTAATAGTGTATTTCAACTTGGGGATGGGTTGGGGAACAAGTAGGATATTAAGGGTCTTTTTACTTCAAAATTTTGGTGTTGTTAAAAACTAAAGGAACGGGGCTGGTGAGATGGCTCAGTGGTCTAAAGCACCTACTTAGAACAAGCTTAGCAAAATGCCAGGACCGCGGTTCAATCCCCCAGCACCACATGCCAGCCAGCCCCGCCCCCTGGTGGGCTGAGCTGGCCACACACACACACACACACACACACACACACACACACACACACACAAATAAATAAAATTAAAAAAAAAAAAACTAAAGGAACAAAAGTAGCTCTGAGTCTTATAAGCCTATAATATTAATTTACTAAAATGTAGTTGTTGGGCTCCAGCTTCTCATGTAAAGGTCTTGAATTGTCACTCCAGCCTAACAAGTAAAAAGCTGAACCAGGGCAGCAGTGTGGAAATAGGCAGTTTTTAATTTGCACTCCTAAGAATTCCTTCTCTTTAGAGGAAACCCAGTTGTATTTATAAGGTCTTCAGGATTGGATGATACTCTCCATATTGTGAAGAGAAATACACTCTAAGGAAAGTTCACTGGGTTAAATGTGTCAAACCAAGCTATGTCATTATCACAGATAAGACATAACTGTGTCTTTCTGCAGTGTCAGAATTTATTGAGCAGCAGTATATTCACTGTGTCTATTTCATCAGTGTTAACTTTTTGAATATTCTAGATTTTGGCAGATCGTTGAGAGCAGGATGATGATCACTTTGTTTTATTCCATTTCCGTCTTAGTTACCAGTCTCTGTAGCACTCAAGTCATATGCCATGCTTCACACAATGATACACAGGTTTCAGAATTGCTAAGGATGGGTCAACAAAGGCCACGGGACTCAAAACAGAACTGAAAGTGAAGGTAGGGAGTTTATAGAGATGTAAAAAGCTTTCTACAGAAGTTTGTGCACAGCACAGGATTTGTTCAGAGCTCAAGTCCAGAAGGTTTAAAGGACAAATGGGACAGGGGAATCAAATTCAGCTGAAGCCTGGTGACAGAGACAGAGTTTGACCTCTGGTGACCTCAAGCTGCATTCCCTAGGTGTGCCTGTCATATGCTAGGTTGACATGTGAGCCATCTTACCTGTTTGGGGGATCCCTTTTATAATGCAATACTGGAATTTAAACCCAGGGCTTTGGCACTGAGCTATACTACCAGCCTTTATTTTCAGTTTTAAAAATTTGAGATGCAGTCTCTTGTGACCCTCTTGTCTCAGACTCCCAAAGTGCTAGGATTACAGTTGTGCCCTGCCATGGCTGGTTACTTCTTTCATAGGATCCAAATGAAGGAGTTGCATTATTTCTTTGTCTGGTGTGTTTTGTGAGCTCACAGCCTGGTTTTCTCCAGTATTACTTTGACAGTATGTCATCATGTCCCTGATTTAGTTTCATAAGTTTATTGGTGGCGATTTCTCATGAGTATAGTTAATTTATGCATTGGTGCCTTGCCATGGTGCTGTGCAGCTTAGATTAGCTTTGTGCTGTTTTGCGTGCCCAGCCTCTAGTGGTGATCATATACACAGAGAAGTTACTGAGTCAACCTGTCTTAGAACTTACATCAGAATGGCACAAACTACCGCTTTAAAAAGTGGAGTCATTCAAGACAAGGCACAAGCTGAAAGCTGCTATTTTTATACAACCTGGAATAATGCAGGGCAGGGGCTTACACAGAATCCTAACCTATCCTAACATTACAAAAAAAGTTACAAAAGCTGCCTTCTATGAAACATCTAGACTGGGATTTGACCAAATAGATAGGTACTAAGAACTAATCAAAATAAACCTTCACAAGTTGGTCTTTTAAATTTAATGATTCTAATGAGTATAGAGCACTATATCATTCCAGTTTTAATGTATATTTCCCCAATGACTAATGATGGTGAATACAACTTATGTACTCACTAGATGTTCATATATTTTCTATTATAAAGCTCTCACTTAAGCATTTTTGTCTTTTTTTGCTATTGAGACAGAAGCGTTATTTACATATTGTACATGCATGTCCTTTGTTAGGTATGTGAATTATTACTATTTTCATGGTCTGTAGCTTGTCTATTTTTCTTAGTTTTTGATCAGCAGTTTTTGTTACTTTAGGAAGTTCATTGTTTTAATCTGTTTCTCGTGATTACAGTGAAATATTTGAAGCTGGCTAATGTTATAAAAAAAGGAGTCTAGCTTATAGTTTTGGAGGCTAGATATTGGTGAGCTGCCTGGCAGATGGCAGAGACAGTGCTGACAGGGGAAGGATCACATCCTAGAGCAGAAAGCCAGAGACAGGCTGAACAAGGGCAGTCTTGGATTTTAGGTCAACTCTCTCTGGAGAACCACCAAAAATGTCTTCTGAGAATTACATCAATCTTTTCTGGAACAACACCCTCCATGACCAAAGGACCTCTCTTTAGCCTCTACCTCCTAACATTTTCCATTTCCCAGTACTGACACTCTGTAAAGTAAACCTCCAACACATGAACTCTTGGAGACCCTCAAACCCTATCAGAACCTTGACATGCATGTTAAGGATTTCTTTTCTTCCTGTCAGTACTATCTGGATCCTAGCTAAAGTTCTTTGCTTGCCTTAGTTTCATGGAGACATTATATTTTCTTCAAGAAGATTTATAACTTTATATTTTATGTGTCAATCTATGAATTATCTTGAAGTAACTTATGCATGTCCAGTGTAACTGAGGTTCTTTCTTTTCCTATTGATGTTCCCAGGGGCTGGGGGGAGATCCCACAATTCAAGAGGCTAAGGCAGGTGGATCACTGTGAATTTAAGGCCAGCCTGGCTACATAATGAATTCAAGGATGGCCTGAACTACATAGCAAGACCTTGTTTTTGGTTTTTTTCTTGTAGAGTCTTTTTTGGTTTCCCAATAGATACCACTGTCCAGTGTAAAACTGTCAGAACAGACTAGAATTTTTTGTCCTAATTCTGAATTCCCAGGAGAGAGAACTTTATCTTCTAAGTTTAGGTTGAGTAAATATTTTATGACAATCTCCTATAGAAGTTTGGATGAGGATTAAAGAAACACATGGCCACAAAAATGGCCTACACACCTATTTCCTTCACAAGAAGTTCATTGCATTTCACTTGCCTGCTTTTTACACTTTTTTATTTTGTAATAACTCTATATTTATAGGTAACATTATAATATATAATGTTATATATTTTATAACATTAGCCAGCTTGAATAAACCTGTAAGAAGAACCTTGCAAACCCCACAGTGCTTCTCTTAATGTTGACATCTTGTACAAATGCAGTGCAATACCAATACCAAGAAACTGACTGAGGCACGGTCTATAGGGCTTGCTCAGATTTTATTATCCATATATGCATTGAAAGTGTATTAATGGCAGCTCTGCTATTCAAGTAACATTTGTAACAATCCCTTCATCTAAGATGTGGAGCTGCTCACTCAGCACAGGGCTCCTTCTTGCTGCTTCTTAGCAGCCTCCAATCCCTGCAGTCACTTATCTCCCTTTCTAATCTGACAACACTGATGTTTTCCCCATCCCTATCATTCTATTTCAAGAGTGTTACAAGTATGTAATTTTTTAAACTTAGAACAATTTTCCTAATTCTCTTAAGTCCCATCCATCAGGAATTCTCTCTTCCTTCCTGCATGCCTCTCTCCCTCCTTTCCTTCTTTTACCTAATAAAAGGCATTTGTGTTATTTTTATTTTAGAATGGACATAATACACAATAATGAACTATAATGCATAGAGCTAGCATGGCACTATAATGAACAAAGCTGTTAAGTGCAATCATTTGCAGGTTTTTGTATAAATGTGGTTTTTCAATTAGCAATAATCGCACCTTGGATAAACCTCATTGGCTACGATACTGCCACTGCGCAGAGCTGTATAAATGTGTTTTTTAATTTTTTTTTTATTTTTTAAGGATGAATACTCAATAACACAGTTCTGAAAAAATTGACCAAGACTGCAAACAATTGGGTAGTATGGTACAATAAGTAAAATAATTTGTCCTCCCAAAAGATATTCAATATTTTATCTCTAAGACATGTAAATATGTTACTATGCATGCTCAGGGGGGTTTGTAAATGTGAGGAAATTAAGGATATTGAAAGAGAGAGATTTTTCTGTTTTTCTTTTTTAATGAGCCCAAGGACATCAGAAAGTTCCTGATAAGAAGGAGGTCAGAGGTTCAGGGTCAGAACATGGGAAGATGTTACCCTATGTTGGCTTGTACATAGAGGAGAAAAAATGAGCCAAGGAATAAATGAAGCCTCTAAAAGCTGGAAAATGGACCTGAGAGATGGCTCAGTGGAATAAGCACTTCCCTGGCAAGTACAAAAGCCTGAGTTCAATCCCTGGTTCCTAAAATAAAATAAAATAACCATTTTAAAATAAATAAAATAAAATAAAATTAAAGCTGGAAAACACAATGAATAGATTTCCTTAAAGATTATAGAACAAGCACATTCCTGTTGACCTTTGATTTTAGCTTATACACCCTATTTCTAACTTTGGACCTGTGAGATATCAGATTTTTAATTTTTAACTTAGTTTTATTTTTAATTTTGGGGTTTCTTTGTGACAGGATTTCACTATGTGGTTGAGGCTGGCCTTGAACTCACAGTGATCTTCCTGCCTCAGACTCTGGAACCCTGAGATCACAGGCACGCACCACCACACCTAGCAAGTATGCTGCTCTAGCCAGTAAGCATATGGGACTTTGTGAATAGTCTCAGTAGAGGAAACAGCATATATGATAATGAATGCATAGTTGTAGTTGAAAATGCTGCTTTCCTAGAGCGGGCAGCTCTATCTGACTGTTTCTTCAGGAGTCGGTACTTACTATCTTTCAACAAGCCTGTACTTTTTCATCATTCCTATGGTTTAAGTGCCTTTTAGACATCAAGTACTGTCCTGAAAGCCACTGACATTACTGACGTGGTCCTTGCTATCATGGTCATAAAATTCCAGAGAGGAATGCTAGTACAGACTCAAAATAAGACAGGGTCATATAAAAGTAGACAATACAGACAAAATAGTATGGAGAAGTGAAACAGACTTAGAAGTTGCTTTAGTGTGGGTGGTTGGAAAAGGCCTATCTAGAGAGGAGAAATTTGAACTGAGATCTGAATGCTGAGAACAATTACAGAAAAATCTATATACAAGCTGGGTCTGGTGGCCCATGCCTGTTATCCCAGCACTTGGGAGGGTGAGACAGGAGGATTGCCATGAGTTTGAGGCCTGGGCTACATAGTGAATCAAATACACAGTGTAGTTTGACTCGGAGCCCAGGCCTGGCATGAGTGGGACTGCCCAGGGCCAGTCAGATCCTGCTTTGACCCATAGCCCAGGCCCAGCATGTGAGTGAGACTGCCTGGGGTCCACTGGATCTTCATTGGAGTCAGCTGCCCAGGCCTGTCATGTGAGTGGAACTTCCATCAGACAGGCCCAGTGTGAAACCCTGTGGCAGAACTACCTGCAGAGAAGTTAGAGGCAAGACCCACCCAGCTGATTCAGGAGCAGAACATCTTGCTAGTGTGGCACAGCAGGTTCACTTCCAAGGGCTGCAGCATGAAGAAGTGGATCACAACAGCCAGACTCAAGCCATACCCACCTGGATGAGTTTGAACTTGGTAGATCTGGACCTGGTGCTAAGATAATAACTCTATTAAAGCTCTACACCATAGGTCAGAAGACAGTGCTATACAAAATGACAAATAGAAGGAGCAAAATGCATTCTCAGACCCAAAGCCCACCCAGAACAAATGTAGAAGACAATAACATAGAGGAAATTGGAAATCACACACCTGAAATCTCTGAAATAATAGCATTTGAAGTAAAGAAACAACTGCAGAAAGGTATAGAGGAAATCAGATCAGAAATAATGTCTGAAGTAAAAAAAGAAATAACTATAATGAAAGAAGTACTAAGTGTTTCTAAAGAAGACACTGATTAAAAAAAATAGAGGAAAATAGAAAAGTGATGGAATCCTTCAATGAGCAATACAGGAAAGAAATAGAATGCATGAAGCAGATTCAAAGTACTATACAGGAAATTAAAACCTCAATCACAAACTGGCAAAACTGTTTGAATGAAAGTGAAAATAGACTTTCAGACCTTGAAGACACTGTTGCAACTAGTGAAAAGGTAAGAAAAGATCTTTGAAAAACAACTAAGGAAAAAAAAAAACCTAGGATGCAGGAAAAAATAATTCAACATCTTCAAGACACTGCAAAGATGAACAACATAAGACTAATAGGCACAAGAAAGGAGTCAATATAAATGATATAAAAAGAATATGGACAGAAGTAATAGCAGAAAACTTCCAAAATATGGGGGGAAACAATTTGACATTAGGATAACCAAAGCATATAAAACTCCAAATAACATCAAACCAATTAAAAACCA